CAGAGAAGAAACAGCGCTCAGGTCTCCATGGACAAGGCACACCAGGCTGGGAGAGATCACCACACAGGTGAAAAAGCAGCAGAGGAAAATTTGCCCTATGTGTGACGCCCACCGTCCATGTGCCTTGGACATAGGCTAAAACACATTCTTAGCAACCTTAGTTTCATTATAGACACATGACACTGTGCTGCCTGATATTCTACCAAATAGCATGACTAATATTATAGTCTTTACAATTTAAACTATGAAAAGATTTCATGCACAGTACGCTATGATGTTATGTTTATTTTTGGCTTAAATGCAGGAGTATAAAAATGTACTTCTGGACTGGGGCTAAAGCTCAGTGGCACCGCGCCTGCCTGGCAATCGCAAGGTCCTGAGTTTGACTCTTGGTATCAGAAGAAACCGAAAATCCAAAAGTGTGCTTCTGTCTCTCAGACTGTACTTTTCAGGCAGGTGTATGTAAGTGCTTCCTGTCTTAAAAGTATCCCTGACTTTCATTCTGAGATTCTTGACTGAGGAAGTGGAAAACTCAAAACTCGCCTCAAAGTGTAACAGTGTCAGAGGAGAAGGATCCGGCAACGCCCAGTTGTGTTTCTGGGCCAATGGTCACAGGGGGTCCCCTTCCTGAGGGGCTGACAGTGCAGTCGCTGCCCACCAGGGACTTTATCTCCAGAAGAGAGGAAACACCTGTATGAAAGCCGACTTGTTGACATTTTAGCTAGGTGACAGTGTAACAAGTTTCGACTCTGTTTGTGAGCCAAGAAATGGACTTGGGCCCTGGAAAAATGTTCTGTGTCTTTGTTGGCAAACATCAGACAAAGCAAAGTAAATTACAATGAAAGGATAAGTTACAAACAAGAATTTGTTGAAAAATGTTTTCCTTCAAAAGTATAAAACATGATAAGAAAGAAGGTTACTTGACAGCTTGGCAGCTGCTGAGCATGTATTTATTCTTCACAAGTTTATAAAGTGTTGCTTGGAGATTTTCAGCCTTCTCCTTGAGTTAGGTCAGTTAACAACTTCAAGATTTTATTGATGACGTTTGAATGTGAAATTTAAAATTTGTTGAGCCAACAGGGTTTCCGGCAGGAGCGCTTGTAGTCTAAACTTTTGAAGATCTGTCCAACTTCTCAACAGGGTCTTAGGAAAATCACAAGACTCTACCCATGTGCTCTTTGAGTGACTTCATTTCAGTGGTTTAAATTTCAAAATGCCCGTAGACCACCATGCATAATCACGAACACTGCATCAATCCACGATATCTGCATTTCACCATAATGACAATAAAACTTTTGTCTGTCTCCAAACCTATGACCTTTGCTGAGTACATTTGTCTCTGAAAAGTTGAGTCACTGTGCAGCAGAAAGCAGGTGATCATTCTTAATTAAGTTTCAAATGAGACGGCTCACACAGCTGCACACACACGTGTACTAACCTAATCACCAGGTGCACCTGCTCCAAGTTAGCAATACTTCATAGAGCACATGGCAAGAATGACAGTTTCAAGTGTTAATCTGTTGAATGTAAATCCAGACTTCCTTTCAATAGCTGATGAGACATATGCTTTGAGCCACATAGAAGATGGGTGTACAAAAATGTGGGCAATTCTGAGCTGCCCCATTTGAAAACAAAGCTGTCTTTCCAATCTAAAATAAGTTATGTTCTTTTGTATTATTATGGAGCGCTTTTGTACTAAGAAATATCAGGGGTTTTCAACATTTATATAATGTACTTGTGATTCCACAAAACATTGAAAAAGGAAAGCTGAACTGTTCTTAATCTATGCTGCCAAATCTGTCCCTGCAAATGTGGTGATTTCTGTAACTATCTAAGATCTTCAGTTTCTGAGATTAAAGACAGTAATGATAAAAAGAAAATTTGTTGAGATTATGAGCTTAAACTCTGGATTCTGCACAGAGAGTAAATCTATTTCCACAGATCACACCCCTTTCCACAAGAGTCACCCTAAAATCTGAAGCTGAGGTCCCCCCCAAGCTCCAAGATTTTAATTTATGATATATACAGGTACTTTTTCAAAAAATGCAAGTTTTATGTTGAATTTCTTTGGTATGGAACTCTAGTTTTATTTTCTCTCTCATAAAATGATTTTTTGATTTCTTAAAAGAATACATTTTATCTACAGTTGAAGTCTGTCAAAGATTAAAATAAAAGTACATTTTAAAAATATAACTAAAACCAAAGATATAGATAGTTCTATACCAGTAAATACCAGTAAATTTCTCTATAATATTTGCAACTTTCCATCATGTGTTAAACTATTAAAATACGATTGCTCTCTGAAAAGGAACCTGCTGAATCAAGTGCCTAGCTCCACAAAAGGTAAAAGTTATCTTGTCCTCTCCAAAGATTGGCTGAAGATTGGCATACATGTAAATGCCCTTTTATACTTAACTAAAATACAAATACTGTGCTAATGGAGATTAGTCTTTCCAAAGTATTAATAAAATTATTTAAGGAAGGCATTTTAAAAGTTTTTATATGAAGACTATCTTTGGCTTCAGTTAATTTTAATAAATCTAACTTTGTGTAAAGTCATCAAAAAAGTTATCCAAATGTATAAGATCACACACTAAACACTTTAAAAGTGAATTGCTGTGTTAGTCAATGGTATACTAGTTACAAGTTCACAAACCGGGTTTGTTTGTGAGAGCAATCTGTACTCATATAGCTCAAAAGTGAGAAAAGTTATTAAAAATCTAGAAAGAGTAAAAGCAAAGCACAGAGTTCTACTTGTTTTTGTGCTGGGCTTTGCAACTATAATGTGTAAGAGGATTATTTTATTTCAAACTAAATAGCATATTTCCAAGAAGCAAAAATGACCAAGAGTTGCGGAGGTCCTTTAAGAAGATCTGGTCCTGTCATCTTAGGGAATAATGGGTTCTCTTTGTCCTCTGTGTTTTGTTCTGCACCCCCATTACCACGGCTGTTGTTTATATTAGCCTGGCGGCACACATCGTGTGAATGGGGGAAATCGCATGATACCTATGAAGTATGAAGTACTCCTCTGGCTTCGCACACACACTTCTGCTTAGGCGAGCACATCTGGCCTACAGCTTTCTCTATCTTGTTATACATAGCTATGATTCAGATATGCTTCATGAGTGAGTTAGGAATCCTCTGACATGGTTTCTTGTATGCATGTGCATATACACCCACATAAACGTCCACACACACAAAGAAAGTGTAAGTATTATCATGCAACTTTCTGTATTTTGCTTCCCCATTGGTATATGCACGTTTTTCTGAAATTGCTAAGTTGTAGAACTTTGTATGCATCACACAAAGTGCTGTTTGTTCAGATACATACAATTCTCTCCCCCACTAATGAGACTCCACTACATTACTAATTAAAAGTTAAATCAGTCTAAAATTTTTAAATTGAAAACAGCATAAAAATGCTCTACCCACCCACTCACTCTGCTCTGTGCTTCACACTGTGAATCAGCAAATGTAATCACTTCTGAATCATATATAAAAACAAGAATTCTTTTAAAACATTTATATAATATGGACTCCTTGTCTACATGGTTGGTTTAATACAGCACATTTTCATTTTGGTTAGCTTTACCAACAAGAGCAAAAAACCAAGAGTACTTTATTGAAAAACTTATATGAATCTGTAGCACATAAAAATAAACTAGTTCATACAGCATTGAGAAAACCTAGCGCTTTGAATTTTATATTGATAGGTCCATCTTCTTTTGCTTACAACTAAGTGAAAGAATGCATCATTCATAGACCAAAATAGATAACACCTAATAACTTTCCTGAGAAGAAAACACCCTGAGTAAAAATACAGCAAAAGCACCACTTCATCTAAGGACCAGATTCAACCAGACAACAACAAAGACTCTGAGCTTCAAGACAACTGGTAAACAATGAAGGAAACTTAAAGAATTCTTTCCTTCGATTCAATAGCACATCTCTCTCCTTTCAAACACTTTTTACTGATAGCACTGTCAAACAAACGTCCCCTTCTGCCTTGTGGTCCTCTCTGCCTGGAGGAAACAATCTGGTAAACTATATGGAAGGCTATTCAGGTTAATTTACACTTTCTAAGAAAAGCTACTTGATGACAAGTGAACAAGTACCTCCTACCAAATTAACCACTTCATGGTGGTGTAATTTTCACCTCTACACTCTCCTCAGCCCTTCCTTCCCTCGCCCTCAGGGAACTGCAATTCAGAGACATTACGTTTTCCATTATTGGATCCTTGCCTCTTTGCAAATGTGCAATATTCTTCAAAAAGTACTTACAATTCTCCATCCTGGGATCAGACAACAGAATCTGCTTCAGGAGCGAGGTCACATACAATGTAACACAGAATCTCTTTCCCTGACATTGCTTATAATAATTGTGATTTAAAGGTTACAGCTTCAGTCTGTGGCAATGATGTTTATGAGTTCATGCAATGTCTTTTCCATATACATACTTTTAAAACTCAAGGTGGCTTCCAGATCAGACCACTGTTAGCATACCATTGTCCTACATAGTGCTTTTTTGGACCTTTATAATTAAGACAATATAGTCCTAGAAAAACAACACAAGTCAAGGAAGAAACAAAGACACGGCGCAAAGTATACAGAAGAAAAGTCAGAAATCCTGAATTTCGGTTTCCCACCTGTATAGTAAAATGCATGTGACCATCACGCCGCTCCAGGAATAGGAATGCAAAGCATAAGGAACAAGAGGCACATTTTGCTTTTTTGCTTCAAGAAATTAAGGACAACAAGTTTAACCCGCACCTGCCAAACTGCCTTTAGAGACCAGAATGGGTGGGCAGGGGACGACAGGCTCACCTCTGCTGCACCCCACACCGCAGGTCCCCGAAGCATTCCAAAGGCAGTCACTCTCCCGGCCGTCTTCCCTCTTAATTTTTCTCCCAACCTCATCCCCGGCAGACCCTCCCCGGCACTCCCCCCGGCCTCGGTCTCCGAGGCACACGGAAGCGGCAGAGGACCCAAGTGTCACTTACCAGTTGCATGCCACAGATAAAGATAAGCGTGCACCTGCCGCTGCAATAACCCATGGTTTCCAAGACCCCTGCCACAGCCAGGCTGTCCCGTGTCGGCCACCGTCGAGCCCCCTCTCTATCCAATCAGCGCGCGGGGCCGGCGCGGCCAACCTGGCTGGCGAGGATGGCGGGCTGCGGGCTGCGGGCCGGCGCGTCCCGGGGAGGGGCCGGCATTAGGACCGCGGGCGGCGGGCCCGCCGCGCAGACCTCCGCCGCCGGAGTGAGCCGGGCGGCCGCGGGGACGGGCGGCGGCAGGCAGCGCCCTCGGGCCCGGCCCCGCGCTGCGCCCCCTGGCGCGGCCGCCGCCGCCCGCAGCCGCCCGGAGCCGCCCGGAGCCGCCCGCGCGCGGGGTGAGCGGCTGAGCGCGGTCGGCGCGGCTCCGGCTCGAGCTCCGCTCCCGCGCCCGCAGCCCCGCGGCGCCGCCCGCGGGCCCCGCCCCCGCCGCCGCTGCCGCCACCGCTTCCCGCGCGCTGCGCCCGGCGCGGGTCACCCGCGATCGCGACCCTGGGGGCGGCGGCCGAGGCGTGCGCAGCGCCCCGCACCAGTCCATGCCCGGCCCAGCCCGGCCCGGCCCGGCCCGGCCCGGCGGGAAGCGAGGGCGCGCCGACCCGCTCGCTCGCTCGGGGAGGCGGGCGGAGGGCGGCTGCCCATACGGAGCGCCCGGGCTGGCGAGGAGCGGGCTGCACCTGGCCCGGCGTCCCGCGGACGCCGCAGAGCCCACCCTGCGTAGGGACTGGGACCGGAACGCTGAAAGTGGCAGCGTGGGGACTAAAGGGAGCGAAGCGCAGTGAGTGGCGCTTGTGCTTGCTTCAAACTTTACACTGCAGACATGAAGGGTCCCAAAACCCTTGTGGCACTGGCCAGCTCCGCACTAGGACCATCCTGGCGGGGCTACATTCCTGGGCAGGCACCCGCCAGAGCTGCCGAGCTGCAGCCGCCGCCAGCCCTAAGGAGGCTCGCGCTGCGGAGCCCGCTGCTGCCACCTGCGGGCGGAGAGCGGAGCCCGGCGCTGCCGGCTCCGGATCGCCCTGAGCCTGAGGTGCCGCAGCCAAAGAGGGAACCAAGTTTCTTGTCTCGCCTGAAGCAGCTGCTGGGAGCACGCCCCACGTGGCTAGGAAGAGATGTGATGTCGACCACAACCAGGAATAGGGACCTAGGAATCGAGCGCCGCGAGAAAAGAGAGAAGCTTTTAGGAAACTAAATAGCAAGTATCTCCCCTGTTCCTCCCTTAAGAGGTTAAGGTTGATTAGGTTTGCATCAAGCAAAGGGCTTTGCAAGGATTTGGCCTTCCTAAAAAAATGGCTTTGTGTAGGATAGTTCAGGCTGGGGCCCACAGTAAAAATCCCTAATGATTGCTTTTTTAAAAATAAATATTATGATGTATTAGAATAGCTAAAAAAAAAAAAAAGATTGGAGACTATATACTGGAGTCTGTGGCTAAATCTGCAGGAATGGTTTGTCAGCCCCAGAAAACCAAAACAGGATTTGACCTGCTAAATTTATCAATAGGGGTGTTTTATTACTGTTCTGAGAGTTTCTTTTGTCAAATCAACCCCTGTTTGTAAGTGAGCTTTTCTTCTAAAAGTTGCTTTCATTGTTTAATGAAATTCTGAGAAACAATATGGACCATGTGTTACCCACTCGAGGTTTGACAGGTAATAGGTACTACACAACCTTGGGCGAAATGAAGCCAGAGGCATCTAGTGGCAGCTGTTTTTCGTTGTTATTATTCTGTCTTTACACACGAGTTAAGCATCCAGCACCTTCTAGATCGCAGGTATTTTGCATCACCAAACAAGAAATGAAGCTGTACTGTATGCTAACACGGAATATTGAAATAGATGTTGCCATATTGTCAGGCGCATTCTATTACATTTTTGAAATTGACCGTAGCCATGATTCACTTGTGTGGATCCATCCATAATCCCAAAGTGGTTGCCTTCCTCAGGCATCTGCCTTGGTAATATTTGTGCAGGTGAAAGGAAAATGTAAAGCGATTTATAGCTGAGCGTGTCATTCCCCCATCGGATGCTTACAGGCTGAGTCCTTTAAGTATATACCATCTTTCTTCTTGTAAGCGCCTGGGACTCTTATTTTCTTGGCCCAGGAGGTGTTTGACTAGCAAGTGATGTTGTAGTCCCGAGATAAACCCAGTAGTGGGTGGCAAATAGTGAATATAGACTCTTACCTTCTTCAGCCTCCAGATGGCACACACTGGGACATGGCGTATTCTATGTCACTAGTGTCCCCATGGTGATGAGCGCTAGTTGTCCATGGTGGTAACCTGCTCATTTATGGAATCTGTTTTGGATTCCTTCCCTTCCCTGCTTTATTCCCTGTCCCATTTCCCGGGGACCACCTCCATAATAAACTGCTGTGCTAAAGTCATTGCATCAGGGCCTGCCTCCTGAAAATCCCACCCCAAAGCCATCTCAGAAGGCCTTCATTCCTGATCAGTCACCTGCGTGTTATTCTCAGGAGAGTGAAACGTGTTATTGGTGTTCAGTCTTCACTGTGTGCACCTTGTATCTTAACGTGCAAATTTTTTATCTTGTTTATTCATCACAGGAAACCCATAAGATAGCACAGTTCCTCGTGGACATAATAAATTAGAGAGAAATTTAAGTATTTTGACCAGAAGCATATGTGTTCTTTGTGACAGAATTAACAAATTTGAAAGCACTTCTGTGATACACTAAGATTTGCTTCCAAACCACTGTGCCATACTCCCTTCCTGGGATGTTACTATACTTATCCTTCTCTTAGAATTTTCTCCAAGAATATTGTCAGAAATGTTACCAGGGAAGACCACATGTGACAGCCTTTCAATACAGTGTAAGAGAAGCCTGATTTCAGGAAGGGTACCCTAGTTAGAGATGCAGTAAGGGACCTGTGCCATTGTTCTGTTTCCCTGTGTCCCTGGACTGAGTGCCCTAGTGGAAGAAACGTTAATCATAACTAGGAGAAGAGCATGGAAGGGAGAGGTGGCTCAAACCTGAATGTTGCATTTTATTCCGAAAGAAGGCCATAGACCGTGGAGCCCTAAGCTACGGAGGGCTCTCAGTGCCTGTCCCGATGACATAACTGTTGTTAATTACCTTCTTTCCATGGGGAAAACATGTCACATATTCTCCACCTCCATCTGGCTCCCTTGGCATCCTGCTTTGAAGTACTGTTCAAGGTGGTACCGCACCTATTATCTTATCTGTCTTTCTAGGCAACTCGGGGACTGCAGCTGATGCAAGCAAGCAACAGTCTGTCCAGCTCTCAGGCAGCGGGAGCCGAAGCCCAGGCCTGGTTGCGTGACTCCCCTGAACAGTTTGCCTGTGAGCTTTACCTGTCTGCAGTCCTTTAAAAGCAGTGACAAGTTATCCTTACAATCACAAAGCCAGTGGTTTTCTTCCTTTGGATATAATAGCCATGAAGAAAATGAAAGTATTTTTTAAATGTTGAGAGGAAATAAAAAGAAAAACATAATCACTCAGTCCCTCTATACAGAAATAATTTCAATCATTTTTTGCAAAAATTAGTTTATACACAAACAACATATCTTGTATATTTTTAATCTTTTTAACTTAATGATAGATCAGGAACATATATCCAGGTCATTAATGATTAAACTCATGGACTCTGTACACAGTTTTGTTTCATAACCCACACTCTACTAACTATCCAATCTTAGAGAAATGTGCTTTTTTTCTTGTCTATAAAAGGAGAGAAATAATAAGCATGTGTTTTATGGGGTTGTAAATGTTAACATGTATAAAGCTCTCAGAACAGTGTATATCAACTTAGTTACTACTTGGAGGTTATTATCTCATGCTGCATACCACATAGCTTTAATTTTATCGCACAAAATGCCAAGTATCCCAATCATTTATAGCTTTTCTCATATCTGTAGGTTTTCTGTTAGAACAATGTAATAATTGGAACTTGTGACTCTGCTGGGAAACTGTCACCTCTTTAACAGCTTTTTCAAAACTGATGAAGTAAGAGCTTTGAGATGGGTGTGAATTCTGGATTGTCCAGGTGGGCCTGATTCTAATCACAGAAACCCTGAAAGGAAGAAAAATATTTCAGAGTACAAAAGGGGCAAAGTTCATGGACAGAGAACCGCAGCCACAGGTCCAGCCATATGGACAGCAAAGGTAAGGAAATCATCCCCGTGACCTCTATAAGGAATCCCTGCGCCCTGCGCTGGGCCTTAGCTGTGGGAGCCAGGCCAGTCTCCCACTGTCCGTGCTGCAAGATGACAAGTATTTATCATTATAAACCACCATGTCTGCAGTGATGTGACCCAGCGGCAGTGGAGAACCAGTAACGCTTGCTTCCAGGATTTCAGTGTTACAGGTTTTATAATACATATATTTGTCGGTATGTTTGGCATTGTGATTCAAAGAAATGGAAGAAGTTATAAGTCATACCAAATTTCCCCTGGCAGGGTTCCATCAGTTTATACCTGTAGGCAATGTACTTGCTGTTGATACTAGGCCTTCCCCGGGAGTGGATGTTATCACTTAAAACAACCTTTTCTGGTTTCCATTTTAATTTGGATTCCTTATGTGTACTGATTTCTAAATACCTGGTAAAGATAATGAAATGGACTGGGTCCTATAAACATATCAATTGATGTCCATCTTTCTGTGATGACTGTGCTTGAAAGTTCCATTCTCTTTCCTAATACAGTTATCCAGTGGGAGATTTGATAGCACAGAACCGTAACAATAAAAGTATATTTATCTCTTTAAGCAAACTGCTGACCTTGAGAGGAAATTTGGAAGAGAAATTAAGCCAAAATGACAGATTTTGCCAAGAAAAGAACTGCAACTGTTCATAGTCACAGGCTATGCCCAGCCAGCCAGACTGCTGTATTAAAGGTGGGTTATGCCCTCCCAAGATAATTTCATCAGACGTTACATACAACAGCAGGTCAAGGGCCAGGATCAATGAGGCAGGGGCCTCTCCTTAGAAATCCGAAATGATGCATAACCCGAACTGTGGAGCACTGATATAATGCCCCAAAGGGAAAACTCCACACCACAAAATGATTTTGTGAACAAAGTTATTTTAAAATACTGCATAAAATTATCTCCAGGCTCTGTATATGAGTTTATATAAAAACATAAGCAAGCTTAGGGTCCCATCACCAAGTTTACTCATTCTGGATATGCAAATGTACACAAACGTAAATTTTTTAAAAATC